TATACACACACACACACACATACACACATATATATATATATATATATATATATATATATATATATATATATATATATATCAGAGCTTGACACAATTGAAGCTTCAGGCATAAAATCTACAGTGAGTAATTATGTAGCCTACTTTATTTTAATTCTTTAATAATCTATCATATACTAAAATTACATACAATTAAATGAATTTAGAGAGACAGGGAAAGCTGGTTTGAGTTAACAGAAGTCAGAGTTAGTCTCCGAATACTTACTTAAATTATGAGAAGAGAAAGAAGAAGAGGTCCTGTAGTTGTGACATTACTCGCTGTAAAATGTCATTTCAATAACAGCTGTACAAAATAATACAAAGTAATTTTTCATAAACATGATCTATTTTCCACACTATGGACATACTGTGTTTTGAATAACATAACTGCATTTAACATAATAGTAAATAGAGTAGAATTCTCCTTACCTCATCTAATTCTTCTTTCCACAGATCAGGAATATAGCAACACTGTGATCTGAGGTGACTTTAACAACCATAAACATTCTGAAAGACAAGTTACACGAGTAATTTGAAAGCAACAGTGAGTGGCTAAATAATAGAGTTTATGCAACTTACACATAATTAAAATCCAGAAATTATCAATACAAGATTACCTCAATGTAAAAATAGTAGATAGCAGATCTTTTTATTGATATTAATATTATTTAGGCATTATAACATCAATTTATATACTTTAACTTGGTGATAGATGGGAATAGATCACCCAAACTAACAATTCTATCCTTTAGCCTCATCCTTTACTTGTTCCAAACATATTTAGCTCTTTTTTCTGCTGAACAATAAAGAGGATATATTGAATAAAGCTGGAAAACTGTAACTCTATCTGCCTTTCTCATCTTTATCCCATTTCTCTTGCCATAATCTATTAACACCTTCTTTAATTATTGTCTTGATTTTTGATTTGCTAAGAGGAACTTGTATTTCTATTTGATTTGATTATCCTTGCAATCTGTCATTGACAACAATATTAGACAGTTTTATTCACTAGTAAAATCAGACATTTGTCATTATCAGATTATATTCAACAATATATAGGCTAGAGTAGTTATACTGACACTGTAAAGATTTATTTTCATGCACAACTCTGTTTCTATGAAAGAAAAAAAAAACATATCAAATGCTTGTTGTAATCATAACTCTAAAACGAGATATGATCCTTTAAATGAAGTGCACACTTTCGGTTTTATTTTGACTGCTAAGTGCTTCTTCATACTTCTGCTAAGTGCTTCTTCATACTTCAATCTTAGAAATGCTGAGTTAAGATCGTCAAGAGGGTCGAATCGAGATCGCAATCTTTTTACCATTAATTGTGCATCTCTAATCCCTAATCATAACTTCTGTACAGCAGTCCCACAAATTTCTGACACTCGATGACACTGGAATACCCTGTCAGAAAAGTCTAGTGGCTGTCAATGAGCTTTTTACAGTGTCTGCTATAATGTTAATGCTCTTTTTGTGTGTTTACATTGATGAGTATGGCCACTGTGTTAAACAGTACTGTTACGATCTTATTGCCACATTAGATCATTATGATAACATATACCTTCAGTGATTTCCTGAAGATAAATACCAAAAACACAACTGAAATAAATACAGCAGTCGCGATCGTATAATCTCATATGAAGCAAGAAATCGCGAGGACATATGATGACACGTGCAGGTACTGTAGTGCCGCCCAATTCTTAGGGGTAAAATTTGAAGCCCTTCCCCTTAACCTTCGGTTGTAAGGGCCAAGGGGAAGGGGTACAAAAATACAATTGGGATTGGGCCTTAATGTTCAATCCGCATAAATTTGTTAAAAGTGTTTAGTTAACTTAATTTGTGTTGTGACAACATAAAAGAATTGTGTGGAACCCTGCACAAATATGTGCACAAATATAGTTATCGGTTCATGATAAAACACATTAAGTTGAAGCACATTGTCAGATTTTGCTGTATTTGGCTTAACCGTTCTTGGGTGGCTCGCAAATGTATAGATAACTCTAATACATAAAATAAGTAAGCTGACCAAAGTTCTTGGTGGAGAAGACTTTATTGAAGACAATTAATTGTGCAGTTCATCAGCAGTGATGTTAACTTGTCCGTCTTCAAGTAACTTAAACCAAAGTACAGTCTGTGAGACACTAATTTAAAGCAAAGCATGAAACCCCCATGAAGATTACCAAACTGCTTTGGTTGGGTCACATCTCTTGAGTTCCTCAAGGTCATTTGGTTGCACATGAAACAAGCCAATACAATCTATCAACATACAGAATTATTTTGCCTTCTTGCAGCCCGATAGCAACTCTCACAACCTGGTACTGAGCTGTGACCCCTGATCTACACTACAAAACAGCTGGCAAATCTTCACCCCTCTTCAGTTGAGTTTAAATTTACAGGTGTTCAAAGGGTTTCATTATCAGTAACTTGATATGCATTCAAGAGTTCACACTTGTTTGGCATGCTATCCCGGGAGAGACCTAAGCTCATAAGATCCTCGAGCCCTGGGCTCCATCCCGTAAGCAGGACGAGAGGGGAGTGTGAGCTCAGGTAGATCTCGATGAACTCCCCAGACTTCTTTCTATTCTAATGACAGATATAGGGTCGGCTAAAGGGAAATATAAGGCTTACAAAGAGCTTGACTATGGTGCCAATTTAATGTCCAGTTTACTTAGGTTGTGTGTTTTTGGAGTGTGGGAGAAAACCAGGAGAAATCCACACGAGCACAGGGAGAATGAGCAAACTCTGCACAAAAAGTCAACTGGTTAGCAGGGACTTTAACCTGCGACATTCTTACTGTGAGGCAACAGTGCTAACCACTGGCTAATCATTGCGAAATCAATGCGAAATCGCATCACTTGACTGCGTGAGACCAATCGAGGATCAAAACATGACCTCTCTGGACAGAAATTTAAACCATGGAGCAATTGCTCACTTTTTTAATTTCTAAAAATCTTGTTTGATCCCGCCCCTTTTAACAGCACCGTATGACAGAATTTCACAATCTCAAAGTCTAGTGTGACCGCAGCTTTGTGTTCTGGTTATCTATAGTGAGTCAGGAATCATCTGATTGGTGAATCATATTTTAGCTAATGCTGGACCAGCCGTGGACAATCATAAGCATGTGATCCTCTCGACAGTAGTTTATAAATAAACTTCACTTGAATAAACAGCCAAACTACGTGAAAAAGCTGCCGTTTTTAATATACCCGTGTTTGTGTGGACAAGGCCTCAATGTTGAGGATTCTGCTCTGCATTGTGAATCTTCATGTGAGTGTTGAGGCTTCTTTTACTTTTAAAGCCCTTTCCACACTCACTGCATCTAAAACGATCCTCTCTTGAGTGAATCTTCATGTGTTTCTTAATGGTGTCTTTGCGTGTGAGACTCTTTCCACACTGATCACATGTGAACACTATGGTTCCAGTGTGAACATTCATGTGGTTCTTGAGGCTAGTTTTGGTTGTGAAGCTCTTTCCACACTGAGCACATGCAAATGGTTTCTCTCCAGTGTGAATCCTCATGTGGTGATTGAGTGTGTTTTTATGTGGGAAACTTTTACCACACTCTGTGCATGTGTAAGGTTTCTCTCCAGTGTGAATCCTCATGTGGATGTAAAGGTCTTGATTTTTACCTAAACTCTTTTCACACTGTTCGCAGGTGTAAGGTTTCTCCCTAGTGTGAACTCTCATGTGAGCAATCAGGTGCGGCTTTTTACTGAAACTCTTTCTACATTGTTTACAGCTGAAAGGCTTCTCTCCAGTATGAGTTCTCATGTGTTCTGCAAGGTTTCCAGCATGATAAAAGCTTTTTCCACACTGTTGGCATGTGTATGGCCTCTCTCCAGTGTGAATTCTCATGTGGATCTTAAAGTTTTGTATTTGACTAAAACTCTTTCCACACTGTTCGCAGGTGTAAGGTTTCTCCCCTGTGTGAACTCTCATGTGAACATCAAGGTTTGGCTTTTGACAGAAACTCTTTCCACACTGCTTACAGCTGAAAGGCTTCTCTCCAGTGTGAATTCTCATGTGTGCTGCAAAGTGTCCAGCATGATAAAAGCTTTTTCCACACTCTTGGCATGTGAACTTCCTCTCTCCAGTGTGAGTTCTCATGTGCGCTGCCAGGTTTCTTGCATGACGGAAGCTTTTTCCACATTCTTGGCATGTGAACTTCCTCTCTCCAGAGTGAATTCTCATGTGGGCTTTAAAGCCTTGTATTTGACCAAAACTCTTTCCACACTGTTCGCAGGTGAAAGGTTGCTCCCTAGTGTGAACTCTCATGTGAACATCAAGGTTTGACTTTTGACTGAAACTCTTTCTACACTGTTTGCAGCTGAAATTACACCCAGATTTGGATTTCCGAAGTCTTCTGTGTGATGAAGTCTTTTTAGTCAGTGTGGGTTTTTCATCAGTCATTATTTCTTGGGGTTTCTCAAACTGCTGTTTCTCATCTGTTTCATTCTGTCCATGAGTCTCTTCTTTCAGCACCATCAGATCTAAAAAAAAAAATAAAATAAAAATTTGCTTTAGTATAAAGGCTCAAAGCGACAAGCAAGAAATGGATGTTTTCACCCAAATATTAAAATGACCTTACCATTTACTCTCCATCATGTTGTTTTAAACTTTCCTTTATTGTGGAACACAGTAAGCCAGTAGCGTTTTTTTTTTATATATATATATTTTCTTTTGTGTTTAACATGATCAAGAAACTCAAAAAGGTTTAAAACCACACGAGGAAGAATAAATGGTGAGGCTATTTTCATTTCTGCATCAACTATCCCTTTAAAAGGTTCCTACAATTACCCATTTTTTACAAGATGTAAAATAAGACTTTGGTGTTCCCAGAATGTGTCTGAGGTTTCAGCTCAAAATCAGATCATATAACTTGTAGAATATTTAATTTTGGGGGTCAGAGGAAAACCAAGCTCTTTTTGTGCCTGTGGCTTTAAATGCACATAACCAAATGCACTCGCTCTAGATTACTCATGTTTTTTCCTCAATTGAGACAAATCCTGCATGTCCATAGCAAGTATGCATAATTCACGCTTATATTTGCAAGTTTGCATTATTGTATAAAACTTATGCAAATTCTTAATGCCACATTTGCTTTAAACAGGAGTGATGAGGATACGGCAAGATGACATGCTTTGTTACTTGTTTTCATTTATTTGCACTTTTGTCTTTGTTTTCTTGTCTTTGTGTATGCCCTGAGGCTTAGCTGAAGACCTACTTGTTGACATTGTATATACCTGACAAGATGCAGAAATGCCATCTAAAAAGGTTACTTGTGGTTTGTCCAATCAGGGACAGTGACACAGAATTATACAAATAATAATGATAACCCAGGGTTTACAAATGTGAACTGTCTGTTAATGAACACCCAGGATTATTTTTTAACCCCAGGTATAGCTTGAGCAGTGTGGAAGGTGACTACAGATAACCCAGAATTTATCCAGGGTTAGAATGACCCAGGGTTAACAATTTGAAGTGTGAAAAGCCCTAAGAATACTCCCCATCAGCTCTCAGGATAAACAGAGTACAATGACAAACAGTGACAATTGTCAATCATGTCATGATGACCTGGGGCCTGTTTCAGTAAGGAGGTTCAACCAACTACGAGTTTAAACTTGAACTCTGAGTTGATTTACAGAGAGATTAAATACTCAAGAGTTTTCGGTTTGAGAAAAACATTTGAGCTACAAAAGTCTTTCAGTCAAGAGCAGTAAGGGGTTTTCTCTTCTTTTGTTGTTTGATTAATGCTAAAAACAGTCGGCAGCAGGAACATTGTGCGCTGTCACTTTAGGAATAGTGCGGCTCTGATATGGTTTCTCTTTCAAGTGTCTTTTGATTCTCAACTTGTTTGTATATTATACTAACAAGGGTTAATATGACTAATCACTAAACACTACACAAATTTGCATGTACTTGATCATTAAAGCGCTCACATTAAGATGGCATTAGATGTATGTTTTCTGCTTGTCTCCGAGCCTGTCCAAGGCTAAGCGCGGCGCACACACAGAGCATGTGCACTTACGCACTTTTAAAAATAGGAATGATGCGCGTCCCGTGCTGTACATGTCCGTCGAAGGTTAGTGAATTTAAGCAAATTATTCATTAGGAAAGGACAAGCCATTCTGCTACGTGACTTTGTTCTTTGTGTTACTGAAATGTAGGCAATAGCTATGATTTCATCTAAAAATGTGAATTAAATTTATGCGCAAAACTGGGATGTCACATAAAAAATGTGCGAATAAAGCTGCGTTTCCATCCAATGAATCAAAGAGAACAAAATCGTCACTTCCTGATTAACAGGCCCCAAATATGAACAGTAAAAACAGAATTTCCTGCAGTAGAAGAAGCTACATGAATCTTTTCTTTAAATGACAGCTCAGAGGTCAATGCTGGCACACAATGAACACGTGTTGGCGTTTGAAGCAATGAGACGCAGAGAACAGACACTCTCGACATGCTCTAGACGCTCTGGAGGTCATTAATAATATAATAACATGAATACTGAAACGGTTCAGGTGTTTTAGAATGACCAAAACAACATTTCAGATGTTTATAATGTTCTCAGCCTGCTGGTTTGTGCATTCACACACATTTTCATCATCATATGATCTCTTATAACAAACCTTTTTAAACACACATACTGGAATTTGTTCAGTAAAAGTGCTTGCAAGGTTTACGAGAGTTTATCTTCTCTTATCGAATAAAAAGTTTGTCCTACTCAGTTATGCGCATGTGTCTTTATGCTTATATTTCAAAAGTTATGTGCATCATGACGTTTCCATCAACCAATTTTTTATGCTTATAGCCTACCCAAAATGCACATAAAATTAGGTGGCTGAATATGTAAGGCTAAGTGAGAAATACCACTTTATCTTTTATCTCTTTCAGAGACAGGCTCTCTTGCTCTGCAAACAAGTGTGTTCATGACTATACATACAAAGAAAAACAATAAAATTAGAAAATATGACTTTGCTACAACAAGCAGCATTAGGCATGGGTCAGTATAAGATTCTGACAGTATGATAACCTTGAATAAAAAATATCACAGTTTTATGGTACTGTGATTACTCCTCTAAAATATATTCTTTTAAATGTCTCTGTAAAAAAAAAAAAAAAAAAAAAAAACTTTTTCCTCTTTGAACACAAAAAACATTTTCTTTTGAGAAACTTTTAAAGTATTTTGGAGCAGTAAACATATCAGGCTGAATCACTCAATTGAATCATTGACTTCTGCTGTCTTTATTTGTTTCATAAACAGAGATTTCTTTACAATTTAAAATGGCATCTTTGGAGATACTGTTGTCTTGAATATCTTAAAACAAAATGTAAAAAAAAAAACCTTACATGTAGCGATGAACGGTACAGAAGAAAATATTGGCGGTTTTAAACCTCGGCTTTTTTCAAACTGCGTTATACCTTGAAAACGGTTATCATCCCATGCCTCAGCAGCACAACACTGTTTTTAGGATCTAAAATTAATTCTTTAATAAAAGTCAAGAGCAAAAAGATTCAAATGGCGGCACCTGCTGGTACATGAAGAATATGGTCAATACTGACGAACTTTACACTCAAATCTCTGCATATTATCAGCATGCTGTAATCCATTTCTTAAGCAGCAAAAGTCATTTTTAGACTAGTTTGTTGGCCAGTTGTAGTCAGCGCAATGTTTAACGTTATTGTTCCACAATAGTTTGTTCATTTAGTCTCACGTCGCCCTGCAGCAACATCATATAGTTTAGATTACTGTACAATGTTTTATAATAATTAATTATTTTATTGTCCACTTCATTCAGCATATTTAATATCAGGGGCATCCATGTTTTTTTTTTTTATACTTTAAACCAGAGTTTCTGCAGGTTTCACCAAGTTAAATGTAAGACTTTTAAAGACATTTTTAAGACTATTATGACAATTTTAGACTCATAAAGGGCTAAAGGCTAAGGGATTTTTCAAATAGCCCAGATGGAAAAGATTTTAATTTGCCCCATTTAAAAAATATGATAATTTAATACATTTAATAATACAATAATAAATTAATTAAAAATATATATTGATGAAAAAAGTTAATTTGGATCAATGTGACATATGCAAATGGAAAATACTAAGCCAACACCATTACCGTTAAAGCAGATATCTTCTATGAGAATACAGTAGGTCAAATATCTTCAGCTCAGTTTAAGTTTTTTTATTATTATTAGTTGTTTTTATTTATTTTATATAGCGCTGATGCTCAAGGACACTTTACAAACAGTAGGAGAACAAGAAAAGCAATAACCTTAAGAAGGTAGAGAAAATGGGAGACTAATAATACATAAAATAATGACAAAAGACACGAGAACAAGTAACAAGAGAGAAACTCATTCCTGTCTTTCAATAGTTATGTTTCCATCCACCTATTTTTATGCACATAAAAAAACGGTTTATGAAAACACCATGATGCAAAAAAAAAACAAAACAAAAAAAACGTATGCGCATAACTGAGTTGGATAAACGTTTTATTCAATAAGAAATGATCAAAAATCACGATGGAAAACACGATACAAACTCCAGTATGTGCATTAAAAAGGTCATGTGATTTTGTTATAAGAGATCATGTGATGATACAAATGTGTATTAATGGACAAACCAGCCGGCTCAGTACATTATAAAACATCTGAACTCTTGTTTTGGTCATTCTTAAACACCTTACAGTTTAAGTATTAGTGTTATTATATTATTCATGACCTCCAGAATTAAGAGCATCTTCGCGTCTGACACCTTTAAACGCCACTACGCGTTCACTGCGTTTCAGGATCACCCTCTGAGGCGCAAGTCATTTATTAGATGAAGAAAAGATTAGCCGCATTTCCACTGTTGGGCATGTGCAAGCCAGGGCTTTTATCGGGCAGGGCAGGGCCGGGCCAATCGCAAGGGGGGGTTGAGCAATGAGGCAGAAATCATGTTGCGTTTCCACTGTCGGGCTAGTACCTCGCAGCGTGTCATGCAAACCCCTCCCCCAGAACGTCCCCCGAATCAAACGTCACACAACCCGCCCACTTCAGCGGGAATCAGGCGGATAATGTATGCATGACAGAAAAAAAGGTAGTCTAGTTTCTGCTTTCACTCACCCATAAAATGCTGTTTACATGATTTGATTAATATGATCGTATCCATATACTTTATAAATAATATTTCAAACCTCCTCCGGTGTTTATTGTTTTAGAAAATATCTAAAATCTTTTTTTCAGATAGGCCTTTGTAAAATGAAAGTTTAATATGGGTTTAAATGGTTTGATTTATGTACTGTTTATAGGCTACCTAAATTATTATAGCTAGATTTTATTTGTTTTATATTGGTTTATTTATTTTATGTGATTTTATTATATCTGATATTTGTAATTATTTAAATTATTTCAATATATCTTAGGCTATTTTATTAGGATATGACACTATTGTTTTTGAGTCTACAAAAATGGTCACGAAATTTGTAAAGTTGTCTTTCTGTTGTATTTATGTTGTGTATTATCTTCAAAATAAATAAAAACAGAAGCCGCTCGCAGCATCAACAGAGCTGTGATGAGAGCGCTCTTTTGCTCGGTCTCACATTCACATACAGGCATCTAAACGTGCACAAACACCTTTTAAACTTGACAAAAACTCTCAAAAACCTTTACTGTCTGCTGTGTCTTAAATACGGTGTAAAGATTATTATGCGTTATTGAAACATCAAGGAGGATGCAGCAAAGTCACTTATAAATGAAAACTTTATTATTTTATGCAACAGCCTTACATTTAAAAGGGAAACAAAAGGGCGATTATACACAAAAAGACCCCAGCCTAAAAGGCTAGATGTTTTCTTTCCCTTATTTTTTTTTATTTGGTTATTTGTTTGGTGCATGTACTCTTGTGCGATCGGAAAACTAGTGTCTGCCTCTCCTTTCACTCCGCCCCAGCTAGCCCTCTTTGGCCCAAGGTATTCGGCGGGCTGAAAACGGCCGGCCGCTGGCCCCGAGAAAGCCCCGCTTTGGCCCCGGAAGTGATAGTGGAAACGTGACCGGCCTTGGCTCGCTCACTTTAGGCATGATAATGGAAACGCAGCTATTGATGCAGCTTCTCTTTTCGCAGCAAATTCCATTTTCATTGTTGATATTTGGCGCCAGTTAATCAGGAAGTGATGATTTTGTTCGCTTTGACTCTTTGTCGTTGTATTTGCACTGTCTGTATTTTGCACTGTTGTTGTATTTAAACTGTCTGTATTTTGTACTGTCTGGGGCCAGCACCTAAGCTTTTCACTCATCATAGCACACGTGCTGCTGCTGATGTGACAATAAAAGTGAGTTGATTTCATTTGAATGGAAAAATCAAGTTTTTAGCATAAAGTTAATTTGCATTTTTGGATGGAAACATAGCTCATGAGTGCTTATGTGCATTTAGGAGAACTAGGCAGCACACTCAGGGCTGCAAGATGGATTTAATTGAATATTCTTACTATTAAAATATATCTGAATGAGGATTAAATGACCGAGTTGGTCTTTGAGAATGAAAACCAACCTGTTTGTTCCTGCAGATCTTCCTGTTTGACTGTGAATGTTTCTTCAATCTTCACATCTTCACTCTCCACTTTAATAAACGCCATCTTTATAACAGTGTGGAGATCAGTCGCTTCAGCAGGAGTTTTTCCTCTGCGTTTGGACAGTTTATCCTGTTTAAAATAAACAAAACAAAAAAATGAACAGAAACAAAATAACTTCTCCTTAACACTTACTTCAACAGTTTCTTTTTATAAGAGTAATTAACAAAAAATAAATCAGGAAAGTCTGAGCAAGAAACAATAGCCACAAATGACCTGATTAAAACTAGTAACATTACTCCATTTCTTATATATAGTAATGTATACTTAGAATGGAACGACATTATACTGTTTAATAAATTAAACCTTCAATAAGGAAACTTATTACACACATCTCTGTAACTTTTTTTAAACTTTATTCTTTATGTATGTTCTTAATCGTTTTGTTTGTTTTATTTAGCTTATTGTATGCTTAAAGCAATGTGTAGCACTTTTTTGCACTGGACAAATTTCCTCTCAGGGACAAAAAGGTTATCATATCTTTATTCAAACAATAGTACTATTTTACTCACATTAATGAGGGCTATGTTGTATAAAGGGTAAAATAATATTATCAACAGCAGGTACATAATTTAGCACTGGATAAAAAAAAACAGAAACTTTAATCAATCGCTTTATATAAGTGTAAACGCTTTAAAACAAACCTTTCTCCAGTTGAATCACAGCGCTGGAACGGCGCAGGCTTATGACGTCACATGTCAAGCCAAAATAAAAGTCTTTTTTTAAAAAAAAAAAAAAACCCTTTTGCCACTTACTGTTGCAGTCTTGACTTATTGATACATTTCTCCCTCGTTTCCATTTTCTCACAGACGCACATATATTCAGTATTTGGAGTTGATCAAAACCTTTACTCTAAACATTTTAAGACAATAAAAAAACTTTTTTAATCCACTAAGTGTTTAAAGCAAAATCTCAACATTCTAAAAGGTATAACAAATAATCTAATGAGTGTTTAGAGCTGAAACTTTACAGAAAAGGAGGTAAAATAGGTGTCCTTCATGTAAAAAGTATTCATTATTACTACATGTTTTAGTTCTTCTAACTAGTCATGACATATATATATTTTTTCTCTGCGTTTGGACACTTTATCCTGTTAAAAATTAACAAAGCAATAAAAATGTAAAATGAATAAAACAATGAACAGAAAGAAAATAACTTATCTTTTTCTTATGAAAGTAATTAACAAAAAGAAATCAGATAAGTCTGAGCAAGAAACTATAGCCACAAATGAGCTGATTAAAACTAGCACTCCATTTCTTATATAAAGTGATGTAAACTTAGAATGGAATGACATTATACTGTTTAATAAATTAAAGCTCCAGTAAGACACTTATTACACACACGTTGTTCAATAGTCCTCATTACTGTGAGTAAAATAGTACTTCATTGAATGTGTCTGTAAAGTTTCAGCTCAAAACACCCATCAGATTATTTGTTATACATTTTAGAATGCTGGGATTTTTTTGCTTTAAACACTTAGTCTAGTTTGATTATATAAGTTAAACAAAATTGTGTTAATGTAGATTTAACTCGAGGAGCTCAGTGAATATTCATTCTCCTTTGCTTTTAGAAGGTGTTAGTCTGTTAGATAAGAAATGAAACAATAGCTTTGTGTGTCAAATTTTGAATTTAAAAGAAAAATTTATTTTAGAGGAAAGTGTTACTGGAGGTCTTTGGTTAAGGATATAGAATAGAACTTGGCTTTTACCTGGAAAATATTGCATTTCCAACAAGGCAAAAGAAATACACTTTAAAATTGTACAGAAAATCTACCCTGTAAAATTCTAGTATTTCCAAATTTTTTGACATCGACAGCTCCTGTTCTTTCTGCAAACAAGCAGAGGAGACACTTGTACATATGTTTTTTGATTGTCCAATATCCAAGCAATCTTGGTCACTCCTAAATTTGCATATATCTGCTTTTGCCAATGCTGTGAATTGCTTTAATCTAAAAGACATTATTGTTATTATAATAACCCAAAAGCTAAATCCCTGGAACACATCATACATTTTTTTTTATCTTATATGGCAAATTTTTCATTCACAAACAGAAATTCACAAATAATTACTCATCATTTGCTCATTTTAGAATAGAATTTAACACTCTCCTAACATCACTTCATCTTATTAACAATAAAAAAAAATGTTTCCTGAATGATTCCTGAAATATTATGCAGATGTATTTAAAGAAGATTCTCGTTTTTAGTTGCTTTAGTAGATTTTAGTTGCTTTTCTTATGGTGATTTGTTTAAGTGTCATTGTAATTTCATTCATTTGTTTAATTTTGTTTGTTTCATTTAGTAATTTTAGTATTATTATTATTATTAATACTTTAATTATATTAATATTTTCTCCTTTCTTTCTAATAGTATTATTTGTATTTGTATGTTATTTTAGATATTTTTTCTTATGACAAAAAAAGTGAATCAACTGGAGAAAGGTTTGTTTTAAAACTTTTACACATATATAAAGCGATTGATTAAAGTTTCAGGTTTTTCATCCAATACTAAATGATGTTCCTGCTGTTGACAATATTATTTTAACCCTTTATACAATGTAATACTATTTTACTCAAAGTAAAGAGGACTATGGAACAACGTGAGTGTATTAAGAGTCTTAATGAAGGTTTTTTTTTTTAAATAAAATAATTTCACTTCAATCTAAGTATACATTACTATATATAAAAAATGCAGTACTAATTTTAATCAGCTCAGTTGTGGCTGTTGTTTCTTGCTCGCACTTACTGGATTTATTTTTGTTAATTACTCTCATATAAATAAACTGTTGGAAGAGGAGTTATTTTGTTTCTGTTTAAAGTTTTATTTATTTTAAACAGGACATTTTTATTGCTTTGTTAATTTTTAACAGGATAAAAAGTCAAAACGCAGAGAAAAACTATAAATATTAAGTCATGACTAAAAGTAACTTAAGTGCCAAAAAAAAAAAAAAGGTTAAAAGGTCTTTTATTTTGGCGTGGATTGTGACGTCATAAGCCTGCGCCGCTCCCGCGCTGCGGTTCAACTGGAGAAAGGTTTGTTTTAAAGCGTTTACACTTATATAAAGCGATTGATTAAAGTTTGTTTTTTTATTCAGTGCTAAATTATGTACCTGCTGTTGACAATATTATTTTAACCCTTTATACAACGTAGTACTATTTAACTCACAGTAATGAGGTCTATTGTTTGAATAAAGATAGGATAAACTTTTTGTCCCCAAGAGAAAATTTGTCTTGGGCAAAAAATGCTACACGTTGCTGTAAGCAGACAATAAAGTAAATAAAACAAACAACAATTAAAAACATACTCAAATAAAGTTACAGGGATGTAACAGCATGTAATAAGTGTTTTAATGAAGGTTTACTTTATTAAATAGTATAATGTCATTCCATTCTAAGTATACATCACTATAAGAAATGGAGGACTAGTTTTAATCAGGTCATTTGTGGCTTTTGTTTCTTGCTCTGACTTGCCTTATTTCTTTTTGTTAATTTCTTTCATACAAAGAAACTGTTGAAGCAAGTGTTGAAGAGAAGTTATTTTGTTTCTGTTCATTGTTTTATTTATTTTAAGCAGGATAAAGTGTCCAAACACAGAGAAAAACTCCTGCTGAAGCGACTGATCTCCACACTGTTATAAAGATGGCGTTTATTAAAGAGGAGAGTGAAGATGTGAAGATTGAAGAAACAATTACAGTCAAACAGGAAGATCCACAGGAACAAACAGGTTAGTTTTCATTCTCAAAGACCAACTCAGTCATTTAATCCTCATTCAGATATATTTTAATAAGAAGAATACTAAATTAATCCATCTTGCAGCCCTGAGTGTGCTGCCTAGTTCTCCTAAATGCACATAAGCACTCATTGAAAGACGGGGAATGAGTTTCATTTGTTACTTGTTCTCATGTCTTTTGTCATTCTTTTATGTATTATTAGTCTCCCATTTTCATGATCATGGGCCAAAAATATCGTTATCGTGATGATAATACGATTAATCTCGCAATCTATATACCCTTTCATTATGTTCTTGGCTGTTTTTGACCCATTGACTTCCATTATAACCATATTTTTTTACCGCAAAGCCATGACACCAAATAATTGACACCTAGATTGTTGCTGTTTTCCTTGTTGGGAAGAGGTCAAATGTGTCATTTTTACTGTTGATCATCAGTTGGCTGCATTCATCCTTTAGATGGGCCTGTTCAAATAAGTTTCTGTCTTTTATATGGAGTTCGGTGGAGTAAAACAGCATTTTATAGTGTTCATGCATTAATACACTTTGTAGGGGGACCAACAGTTTTAACCCAAAAATGACCAGACTATCAGATGAAGAAGAGCAGGAGTCAGAGATTCAATTAAAAGAAAGTTTACTGTAGATAGTTTGCAGTTTCATCAGCAGAGGCCAGCTTCAACACTCACAACAAGTTTGTAGAGCGCTCTACATACAATCTCAGAACAACAACAATTAGATGTCTAGAATTCTCTCTGTTCTCTCTATGCAAACTGTTTTAATGAAATGCGTCAATAAAGTGCACTAAAACTTCACTAGAGTATTCACCTTATTCTTCGCCGACGAGCGGGCGCAACCATTTGAATCTTTTTGGCACGAGACTTCCGGTCTTTCACTTACATTCATTTTTAGACATTAAAAACTGCTATTTTTGCTGTTTGATGTTGCAAACTGATATTTCCTTATTATATTATTCTACTTGGTCTGTATAGTCATCAAACATTTGCTTGTAGAGCAAGTAGTATGACCATTTTCTGCCGTTTATTATTCCTAGTCATTTCTACCTTAGGCGACTGAATCGGAAGTTCTAAAACAATCGCGAAAACAGACGCACTTCCGCATTTTAGACTAAGGTCAATAAATCCAGCTTCTCTCTCTTTCTCTCTCTCACACACACACACACACACACACACACACTATACTCCATAAGGCAGAAACTTTTTTGCACTGAAACTGATAATCAATTTTAAAAATCACAAATCTCTTCCCAACAGGGAAATG